GGATTTGTACTTTAGGGTCACCAAGAAATCTCAACGTTTTGGCTTCAGAATTTAGTTCTATAGATCTGCTTCTTCAAAAAACCGCACGAAATTTTTACATAAGTGATCCAAAACGTGTTGCACAGTGTAACGTCACAGAAGCAGTTATAGCGGATCAACGAAATTTTGCACAGAGGGCTTTTAGGTATATATTAAGACTGGAACAGGGATAGAATATTGGTAATAAAAAATAGGATGTAATGTAAAAGTACTATGTATGTAAGATACTTTATTTTTAAGTTTACCACTTGTATGCAGTTTTTTACAAGATCAGGGTTCTGCCAAGTATCTCGCAAAATTTATCGCAGCTATCGAAATTAACCCCCTTATTCTNGTTAAAAGTACTATGTGTGTAAGATCCTTTATTTTTAAGTTTACCACTTGTATGCAGTTTTTTACAAGATCAGGGTTCTGCCAAGTATCTCGCAAAATTTATCGCAGCTATCGAAATTAACCCCCTTATTCTAGAACCCGAATTTTCGTAATTCGTAATTCGTGGCTACGCTACGAAAAACGAAAAATCCACATGCTGCAACCCTTGCGGAAACATGTGCAGCATTGCCAGCTATCAGTTGTTTTTCGAAGATAGCTGAATGAAGGAAAACAAAGTGGAAAGGAATTAAAAAAGCACTCATGAAGTGCTTATATATAGTAAAATTGTTTGGTTTTACATATTTTGAAGGAAACGATGGATTCTATTGCATTTGCAATTATAGCAGCGGAGTAAGAGCGCGCTATGGGAATGATTTCACAAAGATATGCAGAGCTGTCGGGCATAGTAACCATGGGCGCATCTATGGCAGTTTCTGGTTAAATTGTTGAACCACAAGCAGGACTCCTCCTATGTCTGAAGAGCTGGTTCTCAGTCCAGTTAATACAATAACAGCTTCTTCCAAGCCATTGAAAACATGCAACTTGTTAGGTTCACCACCTGCTGCGCTTGCTTCTGCCTTCGGCCGCGCTTAGGGATTATAACCCTTACTAAGTAGAATTCTCCCTTCTGTGTTGCCGGAGAAAAGGCGCTTCCGCATGTCAAAGTTATACAACATTTCTGCGCATNGAAAAGGCGCTTCCGCATGTCAAAGTTATACAACATTTCTGCGCATATCACACCGGCTACGTCATCCACAGTATTTTTTCGCAGAACCCACGTCGAAATTTGCGAAAAAGTGCATAGTGCAAACCGAATTTATTAATAAGCTAGTAGTCGGAAATTTGTAACATTTATTTTAAATAAAATTTTAATCCTTTGATTACACGTGTATGTTAAAGTTTTTGGATTCGGGTTATGCGTTTGGACACAACAACCGAAAATCATTGCACAAATAACAAGAAAGGGCCCAAGTTTCTCGATAAGTGTCAACAAAGATTCTTTTTTGCTCGTTTATTAAAAGCAGTGGATAAAAATATACGTATATGCGAAAGGCACCTGCAAACACACATCTATTTACATCTTTTATCTCGCCTCCGATATAGAATTGTTTTCGTACAAAATTACGCAAAAAACCTTAGACAAATACTCGTTCGTTTTTAGGCATGCCATTGTTACGAATTTCGAAAGTTCGAAAATACGATTCAGATTCCAGCATACTATTTCTACGATTCGTAGCAAAATCCGAATACGAGAGAATTGCAGAATAGGGGTGTAAATTTAATTATTAACACAGCACGGAATGTTTCTACTTTTAAAGACGTTTTTTCTGAAGTCCGTAATGGATTCATTACTGAGAAAGCTCTGTCAATGCATTCGTAGCTGTCAAACAGAGCAGTTCTTGTCTTTCGAACCTAGTAATCGACTTAATTGGAAACGTAGTTGATTTCATCAAATAAGCTTTATTCGTCCAATTTACTCATAGCCATCTGGGCTAACAATTTATATGTTTGCTGTACGTCGGCCCACTTGTGACTCTGCTTAAGTTTTATCCAAGTAAAACTTCGAAGTCGCTAATATTGTCTTATACTAGGAGGCACATAATTATTGTATAATGGCTTTGTGTACTTGGTTTTCAAATCCATAAGCAATAGGCTAACTTCTACAAAGTTAGCTTTGTCGCCCTCGCATCGTTAAATAACTCTGATTGAATGTGAAGAATGCACGATTGAGAAGAATGCATGGAGTACTGTAGGACATTTTTCTTGTAAAAATAGTAATAAAAATATGAATTCAATGGCAAATACATCTTGTTTTGCTGCGCCCAAGCATTTTTTATATTGGACCTCAGCACCTTCACAAAAATCTTTAAGGGCTTCCACAGGCAGTGTGAATATACATATATATGTATAAAAGTACTAATAAATCTTTGTGATTACATGTTCAACGTCGTCATTTGAATACCGTTGTGACTACTTTTTTTCCTAAACCTTCTTGAAGTTTGTGAAAAGCATTACAACGACCTTAACGCCAAACTCCCCCGAAATTTTGTTAGCATTGTCGATACAAAAGCTACCAACTTATCTTTCAGGGCATGCTCTTCAAGAATACCAATTAAGGAATTATGTAAAATATCAGCAGTTTCACCAGGTAAACTTACAATCTAATATTTGCACATTTAGCTTCGCATTTCATTTTTCCACAGCTAAACTTCTTTTTAAACACTTTTAGTATTATTTTGGAAGAGCATTCCATCGACCGAAAACTTAGATTATGAGACACCGTATGAAAGGCCTAGAAATATTCGGCTTTTGCAAGTTCT